TTTTCCCCCCCCCCCCCCCCCCCCCCCCCCCCCCGTAGAGTCCTGATCCAATGAAAGAACTTAACAATGTCGAAATCTATTAGGATTTCTATCAGCATAGCTATCACATGAACTCAGTCACGTCCTTGGCATTCAATGGTGTTTTTTATTCATGCAGTTTGTATTGATGGTAAATGGGGTGCTGATTGTTCTAATGAATGTGGTCATTGTGAAGAGGGAACTTGTGACAAAGAAGATGGAACTTGTAAATGTTTAACCAACTGGGAACCACCATTTTGTACTGGTAAGCATATTACACTTTGTTTTTTAGTGGTGGTTTAATGATGAATTGCATGAACAAGACTTTATATAAGAATGCGAAAGTTACACAGTAGAGGATTGTTAGGTAGCAATTCAAAAATTTAGAAACGGAAATGCCGTCTGTAGAAGGCGATTTTGGGACATGCTCAGCAATTATAAATGTATAAAGATTTCTAAATGTATAGAGAAGATTAAAAATATTGTTGCTTACAGATTGTGTTGATGGTTTTTATGATGACAGCTGTTCATCTGCTTGCGGAAAGTGTAAAAATGGTGCACCATGTAATTCAACCACTGGAACGTGTATAGATGGCTGTGAACCAAACTGGTTAGAAGATATGTGTCAAGGTATGGGTTGGGTTTATGAATGTTTTGTGCGATTTGTTATGATTTAGTTCAACCATTTGAGATCAGAATTCTTTTCAGTCCAATGCTTTAATAAGAGTGATTACGTTGTGATCAAATTCTAACCATCTAATGCGATGTTTTTGAACTTAGAAATACCAACTATCATGTCGATCATAAGCACAGAATCAATATTAGCACTTTTGATTTCAGAATGTGTTGATGGAGTATTTGGTGAAACATGTTCCAATAAGTGTAGTTGTAAAGATCAGTCTGAAGTTTGTAATAGAGTATCAGGATTTTGTAAATCAGGGTGTATCGATGGTAAAAAATTACCCAACTGTCTTGATGGTATGTTACTCCATTTTGTTTTTTTAGATAATATGTAGCCATCGCAAATGCTGAAAATAACTGTTTTACAAAGATCATATTATAGTGTATTATATACAATATCCCCTTAAGTTGAATACTTGCTTTCTGAAACCAGAGAATGGACTATTACCAGCTTTATGCATGCTCGTGATTTACTGACTAATATAAGGTTAACAACAGATTGAATGTTACTTTTATTGCTTCCAAATGAGATTACACCTACAATCGTAATGAGACATGAGATGTTCTGGATTTATCAGTTTACTAGCAAATTGACTGTTTTCTGAGGTCAGAATACACCCTCAGAGACATGTAAATATGTGAATGTTTTCAGATTGTGCTGGTGGAAGTTTCGGGGCTAATTGTAGTTCTGTATGTGGACGATGTAAAGGAGGTCAGGCGTGTGATAAAGTAAATGGGAAATGTAAAAATGGTTGTGTAAAAAACTACCAGGGTGACAAGTGTAAAGGTAAGTACTGTATAAGAACGCAGTAGTATCTAGTATGTATTATGACGCCTGGAATTCCTGTCTATAGTTTACAACTTATTTTTCTTTTCAACTGAGCTCTAATTTATAGTTTACAACTTGATTAAAGTCTTCAGTAGCATTCTCTCGTACAGATTCTATCGATATGATCAAACCTGCACAAGAGAAGAGCTGACCGAAACATTTTTCGTATCAATGTGTACGGTTATTATCATTAAAATTCTTCATTGTAGAATGTATTGACGGTCAGTATGGTCGTAATTGTGAATTTAAATGTGGTCATTGTAAAAATAATGATATTTGTGATAAAAGAACTGGTAATTGTCCCCATGGATGTGTTATTGGTTATAAAGAAGGACAATGTATTCAAGGTAAATTTATTTGATCGTATATTTCGTCCTATCGGTTTAAAATTATAGATGCTCTTTAGCTGCTTTCAGTGTCGTAAATCCAAACCCAATCGAGACTTAATGACGATATCCAATGCTTAAGCGTATATTACTTTGTTGAAATAAACAATTGCGAACACGCCGAGAAACAAGGGACAATTCTAGTGATTATTTTGTAATTTTATCTCTGTTTCAGCCTGTGATGATGGTACTCACGGGGCAGGTTGTTTAAAAACTTGTGGAAATTGTGCCGGAAGCGACGTATGTAATAAAACGTCTGGAGCGTGTCCACAGAAATGTAAGGCAGGATGGGAGACATCCTTTTGTAATAAAAGTAAGTATATATTTGCGTGTTATGTTTAAGCACCCATGGAATCAGGAAGACAAATCAACGACAACGCAAACAGCAATATATTTTTGTAATTTATCAGTTTATTTACAACCAGATCGGTTGTCGTCGACGATAGCATGATTACCACTTCAAGGACATATCTTTGAAAGATGATATTATTCTGTTTTCAGAACAGCCAATAGCAGCTAGATCATCCATGATTTATGTAGCTGTTGGTATTGCTGCTGCTGTTTTGTTATTGTTATTTATACTGATCATCATATTTGTTATCAGAAGGTGGGTTTTAAGATATCTTGTATAATGATGTTATTCTATTTTCATGGTGATTCGTGTGTACATCGTTTTGGTCAAAGTTGTGAAAACGGTGGTCTTTTGAACTTTTGAAAATATAGAAATATAACCGTTTTGGTATGCGCACTATCCTATACTAATTTGGGAAACGTTCTATGTGTTATGCTCGGAATAGATCACATTTAAACTATCATTCTGATGTAGATGTCTTTTTGTTTCATTCAGAAATTCAGCCAAAAAGGAATCAAGAACGAGATTACGTGAAGAATTCCACGGAAATACATTAGGAAGAGAAATTACTGCTGTTGATAATCGTGGAGCTGGTATAACCAAATTCTAATTTTTAAAATCTTTAATTTTGTCTCAAAACGTCTCCATATCTTTTTGGAACTCTCTTTATCTTACATTTGTTCATTCTCGAAGCTTTGGTTCATGTAATAAGCATTTCCGCTTTTTACGTAACTATTTACTGATTTCAATTTGAGGCAGCATTTTCCTTTATAAAACACCCAATAAGATATTGGTGTGATGATTTGCTAGATTGTAAACCTGTAATGGGGTACCAAGTGTCGTGGTTATTACACGAACCAGGTCGATCGAGGATGATCTTTCTTATGCATGTTAAACTATCTTCAGTAGAGCATTATGATTGTTAGTAGTTACCTCTGTCTCATATACATACATCTGTCTGAAAGCATGTATAAAATTCTAGTTACCATTAAATTTTTATATAAGTTTGATTGTCGTTTTTATTCAAACTTGGCATATACATAATCTTGACCTATCAGAAGACAGGACGATGTTACTTTAGGAGATTCATCTCAGATTTTTGAGACCGGACAAGATGTTTTGAAGCTTGACTCCAACGGGTTGACACGCAAAAAATGACAATGTACATGACGAAACATACTCTAAATAGACAGGGACTATCCAACTTTACTTTCAGCATTCAATGTCAACCCAGCTTTAGATCTCTCGGATGAATTTGATGACGATACTGATGATGACAACAACTTTGAAGAAGAGAGAGGAACTATCAATAATATGGACAATATTTACGTCAATAATGTCATGATGGATATGGACGCTGCGGATCTCAGATACATTATCGACAGAAAAACCAACAAGGATGAATTTACCACGGAATTTGGGGTAAGAATAACACTTGATAAAATATTCCGCATATTCCAGTCGACACTTGCAGCGATCGACAGGACAGCTGGTTGGAGAATTTCAAAAGAGGATTACTCAACAAGCGTCGTTTGTATTCGTAATGATAATTAATGCCCATTCTTAACTGGACTTATTTCATGTAAACGTCAAGATTTCAACTATATGATCTCGATGACTCGTATTTCAGATGTTACCTAAAGGGTTAACAAAAAGACACGAAGAAGGGACGAAACTTTACAACAAAAAGAAGAACAGATTCTTGGCAATTTATCCATGTAAGTTTGTTATGAAGTAATTTAAAAGGATCAGCAAAAAGTGAAACCTTCGTAGTGTGGGTATTTTTTTAAGCTTGCAAACAACGCCATTACATTACATTCCTCCTCGCTTGCCCAGCTGTAAGAAGCTTTTGATCTCTTTGGTTACCTAAATCACCAATGAAAGTGTTGGCATTCTAGTAAAAGTCTGTTTTTTTTTTCCAGATGATGATACAAGGGTAGCATTACCTCTACTACCCGGTGATGAATCGTCTACCTATATTAATGCTAATTATATCCAGGTTTGGTCATTTTTTACCTTCACAATACAGTGACATTCTTATTACATTTGAAATTCTTGGCATTTTCCGTTAAATCCGTTAAAACTCATACTAAGACAAAATGCATACAGTTAATCAGTGACATAATCTATTTAACAAAACACGAGTTCACATTTTTCTTTGGATGCTATCGTTCTCATCTCATATAATTCAAGGTTACACCCCTTTCTTTCAGGGATATAGAAAACCACGACCTTACATAGCAACTCAAGGTTAGTTCATATGTTCGAATTGTCGTTTATCGTCATATTCTGGGTTCGATTTTCCAAGAATTCTGTCTGTGGGATCATCCGTTGCACGTCGTTGCTGTATTGCATGCAGATTGACAAAAATCAGTTTTGTATATGGTTACCTATGCTCTGGCAATGATCGTTTGAAGTCCCCAGCCAATAAGCTCCTTAATCGAATGATAATACTCTTTGATTGTTGCAGGTCCACTACCACATACTATCAATGATTTCTGGAGAATGATCTGGCATGTTAAAGCTAGACGAATTGTGATGTTAACAAGTCTGGCAGAAGGTGGAAAGGTAATTACTGACTTAACACAGATTGACTGTCGAAACGCTTCCAAACCTTATCGGATGAATAAAAAATTGGTCATGACTTCCAGGAAATTGGCCATTTTTGCAAATATTGCAAATATCGTGAAAGATAGCAACGATCAAGTTAATATTTCAGTATCATCAATTCGCCCAACGTTTCCCAAAAAGACCGCGGACTGTTGCTCTCAAATGTGCAAACTGAACGATAAAAAGCCTCGGTCCATGGCCGAATAAGATTACTCTAATGTCTATAATCATTATTTGAGTGGTTGTATAGAATGAAAGACATGTGGAATACACAGTTTCTAGTGCAAAATCAAAGATGTTGATACAGCTGGTAGTATTTTATGTATTATTTGCAGACGAAATGTAACCAGTATTGGCCAGAGCATGATAAAAAGATGTTATTTAGTGTTTTCCAAATCCAAAACCAACATGAAATAAAGAGAGCAGATTATATCATTAGAATATTTTCAATGACAGATTCAGAGGTATGTTATTATTATCACATATTTCATTCTATCACAATTTCCAGACCAGGGGCGCATAAAAAAGTTTTTTTCTATTTTTCTTTGTCGGATTTAAAGCCCACTGTAAGTTTAAATGATGTTGTTATGTTACAGACCGGCGAAAAACGAGAAATATTACAGTACCATTTTACATCTTGGCCTGATCATGGTGTACCAACAGTACCTACATTACTATATTTCTACAGATTGGTTATTATGGCAGGGGTTAAAGATGAGGGACAACTAGTTACACATTGCAGGTTTGTATCATAGTTTAATTAAGAATCATGTTTAGGAAAGATTGCATCTCACAATCAAAACAGAGTTCTTAAGAGCTTGACATTGTAAAGAGTTCGTAATAGTTTGACATTGTAAGAGTTTGTTATAGTTTGACATTGTACAGAGTTCCTAATAGTTTGACATTGTAAGAGTTTGTTATAGCTTGACATTGTAAAGAGTTCTTAATAACTTGACATTGTAAAGAGTTCTTAATAACTTGACATTGTAGAGAGTTCTTAATAGCTTGACATTGTAAAGAGTTCGTAATAGCTTGACATTGAGAAGAGTTCTTAATAGCTTGACATTGTAAAGAGTTCGTAATAGCTTGACATTGTTAGAGAGTTCTTAATAGCTTGACATTGTAAAGAGTTCTTAATAGCTTGACATTGTAAGAGTATGTTATAGCTTGACATTGAGAAGAGTTTATTATTATTACTTGACATTGTGAAGAGTTCTTAATAGCTTGACATTGTGAAGAGTTCTTAATAGCTTGACATTGTAGAGTGTTCTTAATAGCTTGACAGTGTAGAGAGTTCTTAATAGCTTGACATTGTGAAGATGGAATTACTGATGCATTGTAACTCGGACTCGTGTTCATGATCATGTGACCTATTTCCGGAACAGGTTTGCTACACATGACAACTAGAATATTTCCCAACTTGCCACAAGAGAAGGTCTTAAAATAGTCTGGGTAAAATTCATATTACTAAATATTCCAGAAAAATGAATCATTGGATGCATTGATACCATATTATATTTCATATTACAGTGCTGGTGTCGGGAGAACAGGAACCTTCCTGGGATTAGATGCTATGATAGAACAAGCTCGAGTTGAAAATAAGATAAACGTGTTTAACTATGTATCTGCTATGAGAGAAGATCGAGTCAATATGGTACAGACCAAGGTAAATCTTAGCCACTCTGAGGTTACAGCTTTTCAAGACCGTGCTGGAGATGAGCTTTACTCCTTGCAGTTTTGCTACAATTAGTATAGACATTCAATATGTAAAATCTTTACTTTAGCATTTCGTTCGGCAACCTGCAATACGATGCAATGAAAATTTATTTTACCAATTCTATTTGATGACATAACTACTTTTGGTCATATTACCTCTGCGTATCGAAACAAACTTCTTTGTCCTTTACACTAACCTTAATACTAAGGAGTATTTATTGAAACGAGGAATATGTTTATTTTTTTGAATGTATGTGATAATCTTGCAGAGTTTTCATCTCCCTTTCCTACTTAATTTTAGTGTCAGTATGTGTTCTTACATCACGTGATATTTGAGGCACTGATCACCAAAAATACTTTCTACACCACAAGCAGATTTGAAGAAGTCTTTGCTAAAGGTGTTGCGAATGGATCAGATCTAGAGAAACAGCTTAGAAAGGAACATCAGGTTGGTGTTTATCTGTAAAAGTCATAAATGATATGGTCCTAACCAATGCAATATCGTTTGTAACTTAAACATTGGTGAACATAAGTGTTTTTCAAGAAATCTGACCACATAGAATCCTCATGTGTTGCCGATTTATTGGATCGATTTTATCATCAACATTTGCCTCTGATTTATTGAAATGACTTATCAACCTATCAAAGTTATCAAATCTTTTTTTTCTTTGCAGAATCTATTAATGTTAAGAAGACATCTCACACCAGATATGACAAGAGCCGCCTTAGCTCCAGAAAATATCATTAAAAATCGATGGACAGATAGATATTTACCTTCTGATGACTACAGATTGTTCCTCACTACTCCAGTAAAGGGAACTACTAGTTATATCAATGCAGTATCTGTACCGGTAAGTTATTTAATATTACTCATATTTGTATTGCGGGGTCTGCAAACAGTACCAAACTGTCAGTTATTTTAGTAATATATTCATACTCTTTTTGATGGACAGTATTGAAAGTCTGTCTATATTCTATATAGTAAAGTGTATTTCACCTATTTGACAAATTGTTGATGGACGACTTGCAGACTTACTCTTTCGCTGTATAACTGTACGAGACCTAAGAATTTGAACATCGTCTATCTATATTTGCAGTCAATATTGGAATCGTGTGGATATATAACAACTCAGATGCCATTAGAAGAAACAGTAGTTGATTTCTGGAGAATGATATATGGTATGGATGTACAGTCCATTGTCTCAGCTGATCCTTATGTTGCTAATAATGGTTTACCGGTAAGTCATCTTGTTAATCAGTTGCAATTTAGGTTGACATACAAGCCTGATCATCAAGCAATCCACATTTATTTATCCAAGGAACTCAAATACTTGTTTGTTATTAAAGTTGGCTATTTATATTCTCATTAAGAACACTTGAGCTACCTTCATCTTATCTTACTGATGATATGTCTGTTATTGCCATTTCACATGAAATATTAATACAGAACTTTTATCAGACTATCATGCTGTGTGATTTGTGTGACAATTGACCTATTCTTCCTACGACCCTACTGAAATTTTACAAATAGTACTTGCTTTCGTGTTTGAGACTAGTTTATTTTTTATGTTATACATCTCAATATCTGGTATTTTTCAGGATTTTGGTATTTACTGGCCAGAAGAAAATGAAGAGTTACTAGTAGCACCATTTAAAATACGGTGTACTAATGTTAGTATGATAGCTGAGGATGTTTTAGAATATAATCTTACCTTCAAGTTACAGACTAGAGTAAGTGAAACTTTGATTATGTTTCTGGTCTTTGGATCATCAACGAAAGTAGATTGTGTTGCTGGAAAGCGGACAGAGAATATATTACTAAGGCATTTATATGCAAGATAGATGTGATGATTAAAATGCAGATCTTAGAAAAAAAGCCAGTGTTAAATGATGCGTATCCCATCTCCCATTTCTCACATGAAATATGTTATAGAACAGAGCATTTGGTGGTTTGATTGATTGACATAATCTATACCAGGAGATGCGTAACAAGTTGGTGATATAATGGATGAGAAGTGGAATCACCTGCAGAAAAACACGAAACAAAACTTCAAGGATTACTATTTATATTGACAATAATGGAAAACCAAGAATGACTATTTTTACTTCTGAAACCAAACATTATTTCTCGTGCTTTCCCGGTGATTATAATGCAGATCCTATCAGGTCTTTTTATAATTCTTCAAATCATTTTGGATTTGTTATTCAAACTAACGTAACCAATTTTACATATCATTGCTTGAAGAGTTATAGAGATTTCAATTATGCTTTTTAAAATCACCCTTGTTTATTTTAGAATGATATATCTGAAGAAAGAGTTGTCAAATTATTTTTATTAAATTGTTGGAGTAGAGAAACTTTAGTTCCTAAAAACATCTCTTCTATACTAGCTGTATTAGAAACAGTAACACAGAGACAATCTTCTGTTAGTAATCCGGTAGTCTTCCAGTGTCTGTAAGTATCTCTTATAACTCGTATAATATATTCCAGAAGACAAAATGAAAGAAAATGTAGTTTTAATCCAACTTTTTTCCTTCGGGAGACTATCTCTGACTACTCTGATATTACTACATATACATCTCTACATGTTCTACAATTCTTATATAACACTCTACCACCATGGTCTAATTTCTCTCAATATATTTGGGCAAAATCCTATTTAGATTCTACCTTCTACGTCTGCATTTAAGTGTCTCCACAAACAATATATGTGTTATTTTCTCTCAGGAATGGTGTATCAAGAAGTGGGTTGTTATCTGCTGCTGCCAATGTGGTATTAAGATTAAAGGCTGATAAAGAATTGGATATATTCTCTATAATTAGACAAACACAGATGATTTTACCTGAATCTATTTCTACCTTTGTAAGTTTTCTATTCCTTAATCACGAATTTGTATTTACTTTCCGTATCTATTTGAAATTTTTTAAAGTTTATGGAGTTGGTTTCTGATCGCTCAACACTTTCTCTGTTCGCTTTCACGACCTTTCAGATTGGTTTTGGTTAAGTCAGTCCACAAATGATACATAAAGAAAAAAGACAGTTTTGATGAATAAAGCTAAACAAAACACTGTTTTGACCAATCGCGACAAAGTGCTTGTGGTTAAAATTACGTATTTCGCACCAATGACAAACATTATCTAATATAAATGAAATATTGCATTTGACCGCGGCTTTCTGGATATTTTTCAAACTTTTAAACCCACCTTTTTAGCGGTCTACCGTGACAGTTCTGTAACTGCCAAGAAGACTCAACAAAATTCTCCATTTATTACCTAGACAGATTCAGCTTGGCGGAAACTACCAAAAATTGCCAAATGGCCCACCTTTACCACAACCACTTTCTGCAAGGGAAATAATTAGCTCAACACAAATGACTTATAGAAAATGATTTTTTATTTTTTGTATTTTACAGGAACAATATAAGTTTTGTTATGATATTGCTATCAGATGTCTAGACAGTATGAAAGTGTACAGTAATCTATAAACAACAGTCCATAAATGGCCATCATCATTATCATCATTGTATATCAGCATAATATTGTGATATTTGTACATATGCCATTACTTTGTAAATTGTCATTAATTTGTAAATATTTTTCAAATGAATGTTAATACGAATGTCTAAGATATGCTGAGTAGATTATCTATTTATTTTTATTGGACTGAACAAATTGCTTATCAACGTAATTTAGATTATTGTTATTTTCCAAAAAAAAGTAATAGATTATACAATTTTAAATTTTAAATGATCTAACTAACATAGAACATAACGCTAGCTTTCAGTCAAAATCATTGTGAAATTCTTGACTATTATTAGTGACTAAAATAACATTTTGTTTTCATTTTAAAGATCTTTATATTGCATTTGTAGTTTAAATTTATTGAATTTGTCGTCCACATTTCCACGTGGGCGTATAATAATTCAGCCAATTCTTATTGGCCCTAAATGATCTGCTGCAATAGTATTTATCTAGACGACGGAGACTTAAATTCATAAAACGTTTTTATTTCAATGAAAATAGAATGCCTTGCTTTACAACTTTGCTCATCAACGAATTATGCTTGAAATTTCACCTCTTATACAGAATTATTTGATCATATAAGCAAAATATTCATTTATTTGTCAATATCTTTTTACACTTTAGTTGTATGTCATATGCTATATGGCGTTTAGCGTAATTGTCAAATTTTCAGCGAAATCTGTCAAATCTATGTGGACATTATCTTTAATATAACGACAATGTTTGATCTACCATTTTACTGTGTTTTATCTCAAATTGCTTGTGACATTTATTTTTTTTCATTTAATGAAATGTAATTATAATAGAAAATATTTTTTGAGCTTGATTGTTCATAGTTTTTATTGTTCAAATCCTTACATTCCTAAAGATGGAATACTTCATTTTCAGAAATACATATTTGTGTAACTCATTGAAACCTATCTAATTTGCAAACCCTAAGTCAAATTCTTCAAGGGATACAAAAAAGTAGAATTAACTCTACAAAAGCTATTATGTTTATGACGAAGAGAAACCTAGTTCTGCCCAGTATATTTTATCTAAAATATGGAATAGGAGACTATCTAAAGGTTGAGCCTCTAAATCTTTAAAATGTGCTTCAGCAGCGTCTGAAGTTGGTAAATCGCAGAGTGGCATAATGGTGTTTCAGGATGGTGAGCATGTCCTGCCTCTCTTATGACACCCGCCACAGAGCATACTTTAAAGACAATAAATACGACGATATACGACTTACCTTTGTCGTAAGCAATACATTTCTCATGTTTGGTTTTCTATACTAAGCAGGGTTCGTTCTTTAATTTGTGAGTCAAAATAACCCATTTTGCGATACAATATTTCTCAAGACTAGCCAAAATTAAAACTGAAACAAATTCTGTATTTTTTTGTATAACATCATTCGTCAAATTTAGTCTACTAATATGATTATTATATCATCATTTTATTCTGGACGTCATTAGCGAGATCGCTACAACCGGAATTTTTATGAATTTTGATTAAATGATAACGTTTTATATGCGTTTTACGTCAAGGGAAGAAACTCTTTTCTATTTTAAATGAAATTTTAGTAAAAGGCGACTCAAATTATGTCTGAAATCGTGCACTGAAATCGAATCACGATTAAATCAGAACCTCTCAATATTAGACAATTCACCCATTACACCCTCTTTGAGATATCAGACCCCCAGCCCTCCTTCTTTTTCTCCCTCCTTTCTATCTACCCATCTTAAACTCTCAAATTGTGTCCTTGCCTTCATCTACTACCTCCTAAGAACCTAATACTTACCTTATTCTTCTCCGTCTTTTTCTTCCTCTTTCAAATCTACCATTCAATCTTCCTCTGGCCCCTTTTTTCATAGCACCCCTCCATTGTTGTCCTTCATTATCTCTAGCTCCATTCATTCCGTTACTTCTCTTCTCTTCTCATCCTTTTTTCTAACCCTGTTCTACTTGCTACCTCTTCTTACTGTCTCAGTTTCCCTCTGTACTTCGCTCTGACCCTACTTCCTTGGTTTCTTGCTCTCTTTCTCTGTACCTTTCTGTCTTTCTGTTCTTTCCTCCCTATATAGGGTATTTTTCTGTCTTCTCTCCATGACATACATATAAATTAGAATTCATTTAGACGATCTGCTTATCAAACCAAATTGTTTATTTATCGTGCGAATTTTGCCAAGTTTAATAATATCCCTCATAAAAGTAATATCACAATTCATCATTTTTTTTTTAAATATCTTAGGCCTGAAAGGTGGCCTTTTGCTCGAAAGAATATTATTATTCATAATTAAATAAAGGAAATTGTGATCCTTTCGTTCATAATTATTAGCTCATACAATTAAAGTTCAGAAATTAGTTCCATACATAGGACCACTGAAATATATTATGCAAATTACCTGTTACCGTAAGGCCAAGTGAGCTAATTATATTCATTCTATATTTATACATTTATTCAATAAATACTTGTCTCAAAATACTCGACAAATATTTTCTTTTTCAACATTTTTTTCAACATTATAAGAGGGCTATAAAATTCATTTAAGTTAGGTTCATCTCCAAAATTCATGTGAAGGAAAAATAAGGATGTTTAATCTTTACAAGGAAAAACATAAAATTGGCGAGTGATTTGATTCTTAAATACAACATAATAAAATACTGATTATAAGAAGATTGTATTTAATCTTAGCCCCGAATTTTAACAGATTTCTCACATTTTCAGGCGGATTAGAATTCATTATGTCGGTACATTAACAATACAAACTTCTGATCGTTTAAATTAAGCTGATCAGGAGAAGGGGCCACACCAGGGTACTTCTCTTTCTACACCTGATAGTGAAACTAGTTAATTATTCAACATGGGCTCCCCCTGGGTGTACGCCGTTTACTATTGGACAACAAACTGGACTACCTGTAGAGAGAGATCAAACCTGGAAGATTTTCCACCTCATGTATTCAATACAATCAATTTAGAAGGATTATTTGACTAGCATGTATTATTTGTAATTTATTAGAATTAGGAAGGGTATTATAACCCTTGTCTGTTAGTAATATATCTTGTCATATTCTTACTCATTGTGGAATAAGGAAGGGTTCTAGACCACATCCCAAATCGCTGACTTTATTTAATGTGCCTAATTTGTGAGGAAATGCAGTGACAAATCAACTTTCATCTAGAAACTATAAAGTGATTTAATTCCGGAAATTTTTTTTGACAATTCTTTTGAGAACAAAATTATTCTAAATTGTTTTCAAAATGGATGAAAGAAGTCTTTTAATATCACGACTTCCATCAACTTCACAATTAAAGGAACCCCAGCAATCAGACTCTGAAGAAGAAGAAGTTAATGTAGATGATGTTGATGATACAGATATTATCGGTGTCGAGGACGTAAGTTCTCATGAAGAAGATGGAGAAGATTATGAATCAAAATCAGAAGGTAAGAAAAATCAATGATCACAAAACTATTTGTGGTAGATGAATCCATCATCAAGCACCCGATCACGCTTCGATCTGCTTAGACTTGGATTAAGAGTTTCTAATGTTATTGAACATATATATTCATCGACAAATATGTTTTAAAGTTACTTATTCAAATCCCAAAAGTAAAAAATTCTGAAGAAACTGTATGAAAGTCGTTTTTGAATTACTCTTTGATGCAGTGATCATGTTTCGTCCAGTTCTGAAATGGTGTAAAATGTATATTTCCAGATAGTCTGGGAGACCTAAGCTTTGACAGAAATAGCAAGAAGCAAAGAAGGAATCGTACCACATTTTCAGCAGATCAGTTGAGAGAATTAGAAACTGTATTTCAACATACTCATTATCCAGACTGTACTCTCAGAGAACATATAGCAGATAAAGTTGATTTAACAGAGGCCAGAGTTCAGGTAAGAGAAATAAAACCGCTTCTTTTGAAAATTAAAATTGTTCATACAATCTGGTCATAAAGCAACATAACGGTATAAATGTATAAAGTAATAAAGTACCAAAAACTGAGAACCCAATAAAAAATAATATTTTCTGTATTCATTTTCTGATTTGTCAAATTTTCAATCACCAAGAACCAAACTTAAATAAATAAAATGAACAATAGGCCTACTCTACTATACAATTATTATCTTTCTCACTGCACAGGTGAATTGGTCTCAAATTCCAATATAATAATGACAGAAATTTTATAAACAAACGAAAATGAAGAAAATGAAAATTTGAAATATAAATATTTTAAACTGTTATGTTATAAATTAATGTTTAAATAACCTTAAAATAAACTAATGTTTAAATAATCACGAAAAAAGAAAATTTGCATTCTTAAATATTTTCAATGATTTATTTTAATTTAAAGAATTAATAATCATAAAATCTTAAACATGATTAACAACTGTATATAAAAAATAATTATTAGATAAAATCTCGCATTTTAATAATAATAAATACTTAAATGTTATAAACTATTCTTTAAATGATTCTAAAAACAAAATTATTATAAGATAATGAGTAAATTATCATAAAACAATGTATATGTATAAACAATAACGAAAGTTAAATATTAATTTTCAAATATTCATACACAAAGCATTTCATACAAAAGTATTTGTAAATAAATGTCAAAATAATTCTAAAAACTAAAACAATGTATAAACTAATTTATAAACTTAAATAATCATAAACTTATGTTTAAATCATCATAAAAACTTAAATATTATAAATCAATGTATAAACAATCGTGAAATCTTATAAAAAGATAAACATATGTTTAAATAATCATTAAAATCTATATATAATAAAATAATGTATACAGTCGTGAAAATATTAAAATTATAAACCGATATATAAGTTAATCTGAAAACCTACATATGATAAACTCATTAAGTATGTGAAACCAATGTGAAATTTAAATATGATAAACTACTCAAAATAAAACTGATTTTTTCGAACACGAATAACATAAACTCACGAGTCAATATTAAATTATTATCGTTATTTAATTTTTCATAAAAAGTTACATAATTAATTTATTATAACAAAACAGAAAAACTAAAAATGAAGTGTAGCATACAATTCAAATGATATGACCAACGAATAAAGCATTTAAAAATTTAAAGTGGTAGTGTGCACCAATAATTATTTACAGGGCTTACTTATTTAAGTAATTATATTATGGCCGTGATGTAAAGATTAACAAAAACTAATGAAATGAACAAAATGTTGAAAAAAGGACTGATTTGACAAACGTGTAACCAAATGATGATCATAAACAACGATTATGACATTAAATAGAAAAAAAGCATATTATTATTACAAAACCCCTTATATTATGTTGATCAAAATGAATGAACTGAATGAAAAAATATGAGCCCCATCAATAATTCGAATATTCGTGCATAACATGACGTAAATCTGTCAATTAATGATGAAGTCTTAATTAATCAGAATTATTGAGCTAATAGTTTATTTCATCCACTTTTTAATTGATATTTCATAATTATTATCATCATCTATTTAATGAGTAATATCTGGGGCATTTACAAAATGTAGATGAAATGTTACAAAACTTTTCAGTATATATACATATATAAAATATTAGACTGAAAAACAAATAAATTTAAATTTACTGAAAGCACACAAAATAAAAAACACCCCAAACCCCCCAAAAAACCAGAGATTATTTACGGAGAGCATAATCAGAAGGGATACTTAAAGCTGTTTCAGTCACTGACATTTTAGTTTCTGATAACAGCATCCACTGGAAGCGAACGTCATCATACCGACTGACATTTTAGAATCAGCTAGTGGATTATGTTAATTTCTGTCTCCCTAAATCAGTTTCTAGTAACATTGTAAAATCATCCTAGGTTGTTCCAAAAATATTTTTATTTTCCTTGCTTTTGGCGAAACTGTCAATTTTTGTCACAAACGATCATGTTGTAACAATTAAGAAACCGAAAAATTATATACGCTGTATTGCCGCTCATATGAAACGTGGTATTACATGATATTTGCAAATGTATAGGCCAGTGTCTTTCGTTTTCATACAAAAAGGGATGTACAAAGAAACTGTTTTTGGCATATTTATTCAGCAATTGTTTTCAAGTGAATCTTGAGAAGCTATACAATTTATTTTAAAGGACACAAAATACGATTTTCTGCAAAATGTTACTTAAATACGTCGCGCTAAATACTATATTCTTGAAATCCTAACGAAGACTATTTGATAACCAATATTTCTGACAAAGTTGCAACAACGCAGCTTTCAAATTTATTCATAAAAAAGTTTACAAACATAAAAAAGATTTTGGCCATAGAAAAATAAAATGAATTCCAAGCATATTTCATGGTGAATTATTCACCAATAAGCTCATCATAAGATAAATTATACAAATATTATCAATAAAGAGAGGAATTTGGGCGGTAGAACTTATTACTATATAGTATTGATGACTATTATACATTCTAATGACTGTTTGAATGAAAGTAATTTCTCTCATTTGCCACATAATAAAGACTATTTCAATAAACATCTCTATCACGTTATCTTAAGTAGTCAGATTAGTAATCGAGGACTAAACTAATCTCTTCTAATTAGAGAGTTCAACAAACAGGTTCCCGAACCTAGAATTTGATCTCTCGATGGGGGAGCAGAAGGGTTAATAATGGAAGGTCGCTTGTTAAGGTTCTAATACTCAGGCTCAATTATTACCAACTCTAATCCCCTCAATATGAAACAAACTTTCTAACAATTTCAACGACGCTTGAAAAACAAATCGGCTTATTTACTAAAGGTCTTCACAAGTTGAAACCGAAGATTTGTTGTAATACTTGAATTAATGCTATTGATGGCTCAGTTCATTACTTCTTTTAATAATACAAATAGTCAGACTATCAACAACAAAACATCTCATTGTTTGTCATCTTACACCCTTTTTATTGACGACCCTCCTCTTCATTTTTTACTCCTTTGATTCCCCTAAGACCTTCTCCAATTTTTGACACTCTTCATGAAAAGATTGGTAACATCTTAAATGAACGGGAAGGTCATCTTATCTGCAGGCGTTGTCGTCTGTAATTGAAACGTTTTGTCCGCCATCATTGAAGAGTTCGGTCAAAGAAATCAGATTTAGTACTGTTCAATATGGACAGGTGCGAGATGCTGTGATAGTGCTAATCTTTAAATGAATCGTATTTAAAATTTAAAATACAGAGTATCGTGGTGAGATGTTATCACAACAGATGCATCGTCCTACTAATTAATTTACAAAATATTCTCAAATATGATCAATCCAACAGATAAAATAACATTAACAGAGAGTGGACTGTTGTTTAGCATCGCCTAGATTTTGAATTCTTAAATCAATTTTATTTATAAACACTGCTCAATCAACATTATTTAATTCTGCATTTAAGGTATGGTTCCAGAACAGGAGAGCCAAATGGAGAAAACAAGAAAAACACACAGCTAGAGCTTTTGATGCAATCCGACAACGATTTGATTACCCTACGTCTGTAGTACCACCAATGTTTGGTCTGTTTCCACCACCAATGACGGCATTACGACCACCAATTCTTTCACCATTTTTACCTCGATTTCCTCTACCATTCCATCCTATGTTTCCATTTCCTAACTTTTCACCTGGTGAATCTGGTCCACCTGCTTTCAAAGGTAATGAGATTTCAGACTTTCAAGGAAAATGTTGACCTATCTTGTTCCTTAAACCTACATTTTGAAGTTGAAATAAATGTACATCCGTTACAGATTAACAAATCTCGTGAAAAAGTAAAGGTTATAAAATGCTCTCTAATTATGCTTGGAGAACTAAGAGATATCATGTCTTTAATTTCTCTGCTTCCTTCAGACATCAAAGCAGAGAGATTATGTTGTGTTTAGTACTAAACATTCAAATATTCATATCGCAGTTGTTACGGTTTCATTTATTTAAATATGTTTTGTTAATTTTCTATTTCAGTTGATCTACAGTTAAACCCTCCAAGAATTCCAATACCAACATCGGGAGAACAGTGTTCGAACTTTGCTCGACAATATCTTAGTCAATTCGCTTCCCAATCGAAACATAAACTAGAGAAAGAAAGAGAAAAGGACAATCAAAGTCCAGTGTCAGATAAATCGTCAAATGAAGGATGAATGATACAGTGATGTTATTTAATTAGTTCTTAATTTATGTATATAAAAATGATGGAGTAAATAAATGAATAGATTCTTAAAGTATTACGTGTTTGGCGTAATGGTGGTGAAGGTGGAATCCTTATAGGCGTTAGCCTATTGATAGATAACAGGTTCACGTCTCTTTAAACAGATACAGACTTGGTAGTTTGTGGTAGTAGTACTGGGATAAATCGGTCGGTTTGTAGTTAAGAAATATTCAGATCTGGTCGTGTCTGGTCACTCGGCCCATGACTTTGTGGTGTGAGCATTTTCCAACTGTCACTTGATATGAAACGTACATAGTATGAACAAAATGGGTCTGTTGGCGATACTCATGTTCTTTCTCTCAGTAGGAAACAGCGATCTATACAATACGAAGATTTACCGCGATGGTCACACTTATGAACCTTTGTAGGAGTTGTCAACATTCTTCAGCCCTAGAGGCTAAAAGTTCATCATATACTATACAGTGATTTGTGGTTTGTTTTGAGCGTGTTATGTATGTGGACCTGCCAACATACATTAATTTAATTGTTTTATAATGTACATAGTAGATTAATTAAACTTATAAAAAATAATTATTTTTAGCATTTTCACACTCAGAGGCCTTCTTATCACCCTAGCATAACTCAAGAAGGCAGTTATTCACGATCCTCGATCAGGCAAATCATTATCAGCATTATTGTTTTATATGCTAAACCATAGAGAGCTCTATGGCTAAACAAACAACTTACACTAATCCTTCATATTTTGACATCTTTATGTGGAACATAACAAAAATATATTTAGTGACAAGAGGTGCCTAATGATTTTTATGTAGCCTAGCCTATAAAGCAACATTCGTACAATACATCTAGCTTCAGGCAATGTACAAAATGAACTCTAGATGAAGTCAAGATAAACCATTTCTATTTGTAACATACCGGTCCAAGTAATCGCAAAGGGAGAGTTTCCTGATTACATTTACAAACAGTTGTTCCTAACGACCTAAACATACAGCATGACAATCAAATTATACCTTTCGTTGCCACCTACAATTCTACAGGTAAAGAACTTCAGGACGGATTCGCTAACATCTATACTAAACGTTTGGTGACTGCTTACAATAGGAATAAAAATTACATGAGTAATGTTCTTGTCCATGGAAGATTAGACCCCCTTTCATTAATTCCCTGAAACAATCGCTTTTTCATTTCTGAATTATTTGTTTATCTTGCAAATCTCTCCAGAAGTAAGTAATTTTCTATCAAATTGGTGTATTCCAATGCTGAAATTCACAGTCCCTACTTGTGACCTAGGCCAGTGCTTTTATGAGAGAGTATCTCTTATACCGGTATTATATGTTAATGCTGCAATTGTTATCATCCAAGATACAAATGATTTACATCAGCATGGATAATTTGTCTAATCTTATTTTGGTGCTCGATAATTTGTAATCATTTCAGAAATCAGTCATCTATTTTTTTATTGTTTCAGAAATTAGTGGTCTATTTTGAAATTGTTTCAGAAATCAATGGTCAAATTTGTGATCGTTTCAGAAATCAGTGATCTTAATTATGATCGTTTTAGAATCCGATGGTCTAATTTTCGATATTTTCAGAAATAGGTGATCTATTATAGTGGTCGTTTCAGAAATATGTGATCTAATATGTGATCGATTCAGAATACAGAAATCTATAATATATTGATTGTTTCAGATTTAAATTTTGATCGTATCAGAAATTAGTGATTAATTTGTGAACGTTTCAAAAATCAGTGATCTAATTTGTCATATGTAAAGAGTTGCCTCCCTTTAAACTATTTAAAACTACATTTTCTCTGTTTTCCACTGATAAGACGGATAATCGCTCGAGAGAAGATTGCAATGCAAGAATTAGTCTTTAGGTCCAAATAATGTCATTTTATGCGGTCACTTCTGAAAGAGGCGTTATACGCAGTGACCAATGATTCAGCTTGACATAGTTTAAACTTCTAACCTCACTCTATCTATCAATCAAACCAACGTCATATTTATTAATTAAACGATTAAGAAAACACCCTACAGCAATATAGCTGACTCTAAAGGAATAATTTTCATAGTACAAGAAGGATACAAGCGTTGCACACAGAGATCAGAGCACATTATAAGACATATTTAACGAATTGAAGAAAAAACATTAGATTACTTATATAAGGACGCGAAAAAGGGATAAAAAAATTAAAATGAAAGGATATATTACCATTGTCATATTAGGTAAGTCAATTGATCATCAAATTTCAAAACATTTTGTTGATTGACCAAAGTTCGAGTCTTAAGGATCATGGAGACGAGAGTTACTGAAAATAAACTATAAGAGACCTCCAAAAGCGATATTGAATCATCGAGTAAATAACTAACATAATGGAGTGCATAGCAATATTGAACTATTCAGTAAATAGCAAAATGGAGTACATAGCAATATTGAACTATTCAGTAAATAGCAAAATGGAGTACATAGCAATATCGAACCATCGAGTAAATAACATAATGGAGTACAGAGCAATATTGAACCATTGAGTAAATAACACTGGAGTACATAAGGTGTTTCCGACAAGTATAAATGTAACATGGAACAAAGTTGAAATAAAACTGTAAAGGTATGATATTGCGTATATTTCAAGATGCCCACATACACTAAAACTTCACTCTTTATAGGATCAAATTCTACTTTATTATCATGTTTATATATTTCAGTTGTGACAAGTATTTCTCTTGTATCTTGTCAAACAGCAACTAAGTGTCAGTCGTCATTTCTGACCAATTTGTATGGTTGTATGCAGAATGAAGGAATTAATCCAACACATTTATTCTGGATGACAAGAAATGGTACGATGGGCAACAAACCAGAAAACTTGACATCTTTTCAATTAGAAGCTTGCAAGTAAGAATGCTAGGTGTAAACTTATATTTGATTGTGCTTCAATTGGTATATTTCATTAAGGTTTAAACTTTGTGTTCAAGGTTGTATTTGAAGATCCGTGAATTTATCTACCTTCAAAAACTTACAATCTTTAGTGATGTCCACATTGTGACTTGAAAGTAGTTGAGTTCTTGTGTATCTTTGATTTTTATTCCAGTAATATTATGGAGTTCTGTTATGTTAGCATTAACACCGTTGTCTATGTGCCCTGCCCATGAGCGTCTCGTATAATCTGATGTTTTTCTATTCTTAGGGTGGAACTTAAATTACATAATTGCAGTAATTCATATGTGAAGAAATTAGAGAATGATGAATCATGTCCACAAGCAGAACGAGATGCCATTAAACAATTCTTTTATTCCATGTTCATTAGTTACGACTCTCAATGTGCCCATCGTAAGTATTCTTTTATTTTTGATTTATCGTTTTTCTTGAGACGAAGCAAGAAGTTTTTTCTACTTATGTCGATGATAAAATTGACAAGAAATATAAAAACTCATCATCAACATGCTGGCCATTGAGAGAAAACAAAAGCGTCGCATCGCGACATGAGACTCAATTAACATTTTTGCGATTGAATATGTGCAATGATTACCAAAATTAAAGTAGTCCGTTTTTTATTTTATTATTATTATTTTTAGCGAGATCAATCTGATATCTGCAATCTAAAGACTTTGAATTACTACCGTACTTTAAATATCTTTTTAAATGCAAATCAAAATCTTCAATTTAAATAGTAACGTTTTATATGCTATACGTTTTTCTTCACTGAGGCTACTTTTAAATTTTTTTAAAATCCAATGTTTGTCATTAGTAATCGACAACATCCAATCAGTTATAAATGTGTAAGAATGAGACCAATAATAAGTCTTCAGAGTACTGTTATTCGAAGCAATGCACAGAAGTACATTAAGAGAACACTCTATATAGGCCAGTGAATAACTATCAAATCCTTTGGTTTCACCTCCTCCACCTCTAGCTCTTCCTCGCAATATATCGCCGTCTCTTCACCCCCTTTTCTTCTCTCATCTCAATACCTCCATTAACCAATATTGCCAACCGTCTTTCTCTGTCCTTTCCGTCTGATTATTGTCCTCTCTACTACCTCGACATTCACTCTTCAACTAAAATTCAACTACAGTTTCATCCTTCAAGTCTCTTACTTCCCTTGAATATTGTTCTCCCACCATACTACCCTTCCTCTTTACTCCCCATTTACAATCGTTTTTATGTATTCTTTTCTTTCTTCCTCACCACCTTCCTCTCAACCCTTCGTTATCCAATTCCCTGTCTTATCTTTGTCCCTCTTGTCTGTTCTTCTTCACGGTCCAATTTTAAAGAAACTAACTTATTTAACTTTCGACAACAATCTCGAGAATAGCAGATTAATTAGAATACATATGTAGATATTATTCAAGGCTCTTCCTTCAAGTTATAGTATTCTAGAGGTTGTCTTTATGGCTTTGGATTTACAGTATATATCAACTGCATACCATTTTTATTATGTTTGCTGAAATGACAGTGTAGAATCCATTGTACCGTTGTACACCCAAATCAATATGAATATAAAGTTTTTCTTTTTTTATTGACAATCGCAAGGCTTCCTTTTCAGCTTGCAGAGAAACTCTAACGGAAGATTTAAAAAGATGTTATGGTAAAGCTGGTGTTGATCCCGATCTATTTATATCCAATGCAACCATGGAAAGAGGATCAATTATTGGAACTACTGAGATGCAGGTCCAGCAGTTCTGTGGGTAGGTTACGTCCATTTTTCAAAATGTTCACGAAAGAATTTCTCATTGCCATTTCGACTTTGCAGAAAATCATAAATAGGTAAAACGACAGAAAAGGGGTCAAAAATAGTTATCCCATTACATTTTATAAAAATTGGAAAAACAAATAATTTTTTTCAATATTTCTCATTTTCAGAAAACGCCAGGAGCTTGTGGGGTGTCTTAAAGCAGAGAGAGATATATGTCCTGAGGCACCGACATTGCTGAGTAAAATGGGTTTGGATATTGAATCACTGAGTAAAACAGTTGATGTTCTTTGTGCTCATCCAAAATGTAAGTTCCAACCAACAATTATACCATATGCAGTGTTTGTATACACGTGAGCGTCTATTTCTTCAGCATTAGAGAATGACAGCAGACCATAAAAATAGTAGAAAATGATTCGTCATATACTAAAAGGTACTTTTCCCAATATATTCGAGCGTTCTATATACAATTATTGAACATTATATTTCAGTGTATTTGAGGTCATTAGACTGTTTCACCCATCCAGAAGCCAGTATAGAAGTCTGTAGAAACCAACAGACAACTGATTTAATTAAGTTGAATATTAAGGCTAAAGATCAAGCTATGAAGTTTATTCCATACATGGAAGAGTATTGTAGGTAAGTTCATCGTCATTGTCATCATCATCAGCTTCATAGGTTCAAGACCATAGGATTGTCACTTATTATGTTCATCATGCACATCATTATCATCAACATCAGCGTCATTAACCCTAGAACTATATAGGACTGTTATCCACCGATGAATAATTTTCATCATCAACATCAGCGTCATTATCAATAGAACTTTACAGGACTGTTATCCACAGATGAATGATTTTCATCATCAACATCATTTCATTATCATCAACATCAGCGTCATTATCAATGGAACTATAGGACGGTTACCCTCAGATGAATAATTTTCATCATCAACATCATTATTATCACCAACAGTATCAGCATCCGCAGTCCGGAATCGATGTAACATAGGCTACTACATGACATATTCAAAAATGGGCAGGTGAGAAAAAGTAATCTCCAGGTTGTGCTACAAAACGTCGTTTTAAAGAATATTTGAGAGGCACAGTATATGGCCTAATAATATTTTACGCTGAGGAAATCTTCGTCAAATCATGAATATATCTTAAGATAACGTACTTTCGTTTGTTTATTTTAGGATTCGTATAGACCATGTCAGTTGTGATCTGAGAGGATGGGCTGCTGCTAAACGTGATAGTTGTGCAAATGATACTGTGATGGGATTGAGAACTGAATTAGAGTGTAGTCTCTTGCCAGATTATTGTTTGGAGAATTATACTCGGGAAGTGAGTGTCATGTGTAGTGTAGATAAATTCAAGAGAGAGCAGAGAGATCCAAATTACATCCCAGAATCTGGTCATAGTCATGATCATGATGATAAAAATAGCGCCACTTCCGTACAATTTTCTTTGTATTTTGTACTTATATTTTTTTCCACCCGAGCTTTGTAAATTGTTTTGTACATATTTTGTAAATAAATTGATTTTACTAACAAATGAATTCAGTGTTGTCATATAATATACGTATATTATTGGACAGAATATTGGTATCCCTGCTCTTTACCGATGTCAATAAAAATTCGTACAAGCAAGAAAATTCCGTTAATGACAATCTGGTCCAAATAATCTTTAGTAAATGTAGTATAGTAGTTGACTCCTCCAAAGAGTAAGTATGGTCTGCTTCGAGCGCGACTAGTGTCGTTTCTATGAAACATCAGACTAGGAGGCCGAGCAGGGACCACAAAATTTTCCAGGGGTCTTTCTCTATGTAAAATTTGAAAGTTTGGGGGGGGGGGGGGGGGGAGCCCCAGACCGCTCGACTAAGGGGTTCGGGCCCGAAAACTCTCTTTTTTGACCCAACCCCCCTTGAACTGGTAGATGTGGAGTTCTGTGGAAGTGAGGGTGTTGGTCTTCCTGTTGTGTTATTATTAGCTTTACCAGCTACTGTTGTGTTGGCATGCCTAACATCAGTTGTAGTTCGCTGGTCAACTGTATTAACTAGTGGATGATGGTTAGTGTCGATGGTATCCACACTATCACGAGAGCAACAACACCAACATCCGATAGCCATGACAGTTAGGTTTCTAAATTAGCTACTAATCACTGTTATACTTAACCTTGATCAGATACACTAGATCTACAAATTCTTCACAATAAACTTCAAAATTCCGTTAGCGAATATAAAAATCCGTTGGAATTTGATGAAGTTGTGGAGCGTTGTAAATATTGCTTCTGTTTTGCCTTGCGACGTTATCCAGAATAATAGAGATGACGTCATAAAGCATTTACGCCCTTTAAATATTATAAACAGAGCTAGTCTTTTTGTACGCAAATTCACTAAGAGTATTAAAGGGCAGTCTGATTTTAAAGGAAGTAAGAAAATATCTCAAAATGTAAG